CACTAAAGAAAAACACGTTAGTTTTTTTATTGTTTTATATTTGAAACTTATTCCTTTTTGTTTGTAATTTTTTTGGTTAAATCTGAAACATATAATTTTTGTGGAAATTTCAATTGTTTTTTTTTATTTCTCAGCTACAAGAATATTGCCTAGTTATAAAAATATTATCCAGTTATGATTGTTGATTATCGGTGCGGTAGTTTCCGAGATCCGAGTTTTAGACATGCACCTCGCAATCCCCATTATAATAAGATAATTCATCATTATACGAGACGTGAAAACAAGTCAGTATCTTCTTGTTCACACAGGCCGTGCTTGATCTAGTGGCTAGCGTGCCCCAACCTTGAATCCGAGGATTCCCAGTTTGCATCCCGAAACTGCGAAAACGCGCTCTGTACTATGAGTTCATGGATGCGTTGTACGAGTGACTGTCAACTTTTGTTATTCAGGTAGACAAGAGTAGCCTAACTATTAGTGGTGAGTGGTGTTGACTAGCTGCCTTCCCTCTAGTTTATCAGTTTAAAATGATAGAGAGTTAAGTGCAGATAGTTCTCGTATGCACAAAACTTCTAAACAAACAAACTTCATGTTCATTTGGCTAAAACCAGAGATTCTACCAAGTGAGGTTCGAATAACTTAATCTTATCTTCATGTTTCAAATAGTTTTAAAAATAAATATGAAGATTGGTGTTAATGCATGACTAGGAAACAGAAGAACACAGGATCGATTTCAACGAAATGAAGTACCAATTGTCTCGTCATTTTATACCAACCTCATCTTTATTTGTTACATCGAGTATTCTAAATAATGAATTTTTTTTCGGGGGAGGTCATTTAGAATGATAAAAAAACGTTTTATAGAGCAACTTTAAAAAGTTTACGTATAATATCTGTGGGAACATCTCGTGGTGCATTCAGTTTTCTTTTAATGATGTGGAACCTTAAAAAAAACGTTAAATACAAAAAACTGAGTATTGAAGTTCCATGTCATCTCAGGAAACTTCTCACTATTCATTTGTCTCTACCTTTATTTTTCTTTTCCCATTTTAAGGCAGCTACCATTATGAACGAATACCGTTTCTGCTATCGACTTCAGAATAGTATATTAACCAAACTACTTTTGGTCTGAGTACAGACAGTCGTCGGATAGTTTTTTTAAAATTTTGACTCGAATCACTAAAAGCAAAATATAGAAGAAACCTTAGCTCCACATAGGACTCCCATTAAAAGGATTTCGTTTTATCTTCTTCGTATTTTTTGCCTTTTAGTAGTTTATGTACTTTAAGGTGATGTATGTGCATTTCCGTCTAGATATATATTCCCAGGTAACCCATTATTTCTGTAGTCTTATTTCTCCTTTCCTTCTTCCTGTAAAAGTCACGCAAGTTTTAACGGAAGCATTTTCCTGCCCAACTTCAAGTTTCTAAAAATAAATATGAAGCCCAATCTATCATTCTATATTTATTTTTAGTATTCTAAACAACTAGCCTACTGAATAATTTAGAGGGATAAAACAGTAACATTATATTCCAAACCGAATATAAATATAGGTTCATTGTGGTTAGTAAGAAGCAATTAAAAACATTGTTCATGCAACGTCAAGTTTGGGTGTAAATTTAGATTTGTTCATTATGAAAGATATATGATAAACATTTTGTTGTTTTTCAGAATTTGTGGTGCATACTGGAGTAATTTAGACATTTTGGCAATAAAATTAGACAAAAAAAAACCTTTACTTTCCAGATAATAATAATAAAATATTTCTGCCACCGTTTCGCACATGCGGCTTCATCAAAACTGGTAGTTCAAGACGATTTAGGGCTTTAATATACGTAAAACAAACAATATGAGACATTAATCAAGTTATTTAATATATATATGATTTGTTAATATTTTTGGCCCGGCATGGCCAGGTGGTTAAGGCACTCGACTTGCAATCTAAGGGTCGCGGGTTCGAATCCCCGTCACACCAAACATGCTGGCTCTTTCAGTCGCGGGGGCGTTATAATGTGACTGTCAATCCCACTATTCGTTGGTAAAAGAGTAGCCCAAGAGTTGACGGTGGGTGGTGATGACTAGCTGCCTTCCCTCTAGTCTTACACTGCTAAATTAGGAACGGCTAGCGCAGATAGCCCTCGTGTAGCTTTGCGCGAAATTCAAAAAACAAACAAACAAACTTATTAATATTCCAGACATCCAGAGCTCTTCCACAAGTCTAGTTCATAACCGTGTTATTAGAGATCGCGGTGTATATTTTCGTGACTCTAACAACGAGAATATCAGCGTCATTTCTTTTAATTTCATATGGTTGATTGTTACTTGGATATCAGTCAAGAACTGAAGGGAAGAAAGTGACTGATACGAAAAAATAAAACACTGGTAGAATGATATTGAAATGTCTCTTGCAAAGGTGAATATGTAATGTAATTTAGCTTTAATTATAGATTGCATTTTTGGCGTTTAGTTCAAAAGTTCTTTATATAAAACAAATAAGCGTTACTATATAGGCACAAGTACAGAAAGAAAAACTCAGCTGCCCCACCTATTATTTCTCTTGTAGGTGGCGTTTTATACGTAAATTGTTAAGTTTAGAAAATTAAACAAAATTGTGTGCATTCTTTTTCACAGGTGGAATCGACAAAGACTTTCGACCGAAGATAGCCAATCTTAGACCTGGAAGTATTGCCCATAGGTAAGAAATAAGAATTTCCTTATGTGATTTAAAAATGATTAATATTTATAGGAACGAAACAAGAGTTATATCAAACGTCTTAATGTATAACTGTTATACTCAATGAACGAAGATGAACTGGTAGTATTTTTTTACGTTTATTTTACATTGATAGCTTAGCATATCTACTTAGGAATAACCTAAATCTCGTAAGCTGACCGAACCTCTTGAGATATTATTGGGATTACGGCCGAAAATATCATCGAGAGCGAGAGAGTGCTAAACTAATGAACGAGTGCATTTTAATCACTATAAGCTTTTTGTTTATGACATTGCGTACTCTTAGTAAGACTGATGTTTTAAATTAGCTGTACTATTTACTGCGTTAGTTTCTAGTTTGTATTGTGGGGAAAAGAAATTGTCATGCATTATAAGTAAGTAACAAGAACGGACATTACAATAATGGTTATGAGTAAACCGGTTTTGTTTGTCATTCCTCAAAATATCAACATTAATCATTAGTAGTGTTAACATTTAAGTGTCATTGGGAGTCACAATGTAGAGAACTTAATCTTAGAGAAATCTTAATTCGTGATATATCATATGGGGGGGGGGGCTGCTGAGGGATAAAGACTTTCCAATGGGAGCTCTATCCTCCACGCCACACCGGTGGACACGCCCCTGGTGTCAAATGACTATGACGAAGAATTACGCTGGCGCTCATGGGGAAATATGGAAATATTCTTCGTAATTATGGAAGATCCCCTAAAAATCGAGTTTCGATACCTGCAGTGTGCACAACACAAATAGCTCATTGTGTAGCTTTGTGCTTAACAACAAACAAAGAAATTATTGATTTTCCTAGGTAGTTTGTTTGTTTGTTTGAAGTTAAGCACAAAGCTACACAATGG